GCAAACCACCAAAAGAAAATTACTGCCATCAATTTTAAAGCCACACATTGGTAAACTTTGACAAAGCGGAGTCTCTGAACCTGTGCTTGCAGAAAGTTTTTCAAACAATGAACTCCTAGAATCTTTAATGAATGGAACAAAATTGGAATTTCCAAATTTATCTGTACATCCACAAGATGTGGAAAAGAGCTGCCAAATTAATGACCAAAGCTTCACAAATTGTGTATGGACAGGAATCAGCACAAGCATATAATGACCAAATCATTGGGCCATCAAATAAGACCTTCATTTACTTTGAAGAAAAACAATTTAGATTATGGCAATTTTATATAGTGCAGTAGGTTTTAGCATGATGTTCAATAAACAATTCAAATTTAAAACATTTGTTCCTATAATTTGTGTCCAGTAGTATTACTGTATCTTTTATCTATATATTTGTTAATTCAATTATGACTAAAGAAATGTAAGAGACTTAGTAAGTGATTAGTTTTTTTTGTAATCTTTTACAATTATCATTTATTAAATACAGTAAAGTGAAAAAAAAAAAAAAAAAAAAAAATAAAAAATTTTTGCTAGCGGTGATTCATGCCTAGAATTCTGGGTTGAATATATTTTCCATTCATTGTATCTAATAAGAAAAATCAATATTTGGATTTATTATTGAAATAGAGAAATTCTGAAGTCAGTTTGTCAGCAAATTCCTGTGAAAATTAGGTATTTCTGTACATTTTTGCAGACGATCTTTAAAATTAAATGTTCAGTTAAATTGTAGAGTCAGAAATCTAATTTTTGGTATCAATTCTTATCAGACCAAACCAAACTTGCCACCAAAGCAATGTTGATTTTCTAAAAGAAATGTGACAAAATCTTAAGTGACAAATCAACCTGCCATATTGGGCATTTATATAGTCTATGCTAATTAGGCAGCATTTACATATCACCACAGTTTTGGTATTATTGTTTTTATTAAATCTTAGCATATTTCAAGATTTTACAGGTTTTAAACTGAGTTCTGATTACAAAACAATGTAAAAATAGAGTTACAGTTGAAAGTCATAAGCAACTTTTGTTCAATTTCAAGAATACTAAACAAAATTTCAAGATGGTTTAAAAGTGCTTTAGAAATTCATGAAAAAACTTTCTGATCATTACTAAGAATGTACTCTTTATATTACAGAAGGAACAACTTCAGTAAGAATTACCAAAGAGTATAGTTGTTAGAAAGGAAAGTTTTTGCAGTTTCTAAATAGATTCGATTGGCTGTTTTCTCAAATGTTCTAGAACTTAGTGTGGCATGAGTATAACTAGGATGCATGTGCACATTCAATAGAATTATTCTATTTGTCAATTACATTTTATATGGCTTCTGAATCACCTCTAGCCAAGGATCACATTCAGGTCATCCTGCCATATAACTTCAAATTTGGAAAGCAACTGAGTCTGTGATGCATTTGGCAATGACAGTACCTGAATGAACAGCACAAAACTGGTGCAAGTGAGTTTGCGAAGGCGACACCAGCTTCAAAGATTGATCTCACTCAGAAGAGACATCAATGGTAGATGAGGAATGTCTGCGACAGATGGTTAAAGCCAATCTACATGAAATTTAACGAGACCTTGCAGCAGACCCAGGGTATTTTATCTCACTTATCAAGCTAGACCAACGAGTAACTCACCAATTAAGCAACTTTAACTGTCACCGACATGCTGAGATTGTGGCTTCATTGCTCTTGTACTTTCACATTACTACATGGCTTGAATACATTATAACTAAAGAATACAAGTGGCACACGTACAACTAAAAGCATAGATTGTAGACCGATAAAGGTATCAAAATGTTAGTTCATGTTAACTCAAAGTCCCCATGCACCTATAGAAGGTGGTGCTCAGTGCCTGGCAGGACAACTTGGGCATTATCTACTGAGAGCTGCTCCCTGAAAACACCACAATTATGGCCTAGGAATGAGCAATCTTAGATTTCTTCATAACACTTGCCCACATGTTGCAAGACAAGCTCACCAAAAACTGCTGGGCTGGGAAATTCTGCTGTACACTCCTTGCTCAGGCTATCATTTATTCATAGACGTCACCAACAAACATATTGTTGAAAGAATTTATCCCCTGCCTGTTAAATCATAGGTTGTTGACTTGGATGCTAATTATATCAATTACTGGGAATATTCTTTATTAAAAAAAAAAAAAAATTGATTTAATGTTCTGCAAATTTTCCTCTCAACCAAATATATATTATACAAATACAAGTATATTGTGAAAGTTATTTTTTATGTTGGTAGGCTTTATAATTAAAATTTTTTAAATTTATTAAATTTTTTTTTAAATTTTAAATTTTTTTTATAATTAAAATTTTTTAAAGTCTCATGAATTTTTTTAAAACTCAAAATTCAATTTTCTCAATTTGATATAAATTAGGTCTTGATATCAATTTCATAAGTTTATTCTAACTGAACCATAACAAGAATTTTAATATGCCAACAATAGTTATCATGTTGGATTGATTTTCTTTTTGCAATAGTAATTTTTTATAATAATTTTTTTTTCTTCCATTCGAAGATTCATTTCTGCATTTTAATAACTTCTTGATAAAATCCAAAGAAGAATATGCAATGTTATTAGTCCTGACATCTTGACTTCAGTCACTTTCCCACCACCATGAAGTAGCTTATCTGTGCCATTTCTATAAATACTTCCATGGGAATTGTTCTGATAAACTTTCCTCTATCACAGTAGGCTTTATGAATTTAAGTGCAGTACTAGATTGGTGACAAGGTATCATCATTTCACAGTTGCTTTTTGCCTCCCTGTCAATTTTTATCTTCTGTATTCTTAATTCTTGTTCTTTTATTGTCCTTTTTCTTTAATAGTATATTTTTCTCAGTCTCTAACACTCACTTTCAAATAAAAACAAAAAAAAATTAATATTTACTCTAATGGCAAACCATCATGGGCAATAAAGTGAAAATTAAAATTTATTAAAACTATAAAGATTTTGAGTGCGGAATTGATTTTGCATCATGTCTGCAATGATGAAAAGTAGGTACCATCAAAAATTTGCTAAAGAGGAGACATTAGAGGCGAACAAACTGCTCCCACAGGCCATATGTGGGCCTCCATGGAATTTTGTGCAGCCCATGTAAGCCTGTAGCAAAATCAATAAATTTTTGTGAAAGTCAATGTTTGTGCTTGAACCAAGGCTAACTTTTTCAGTGATCTATGCCTCCATTTCTGCACACATGTATGATATTGTGCATTCTCAGTTATTGCTGATAGTTATCTGCACAGCAAAATCTCTCCAACACTACAAACCATACCTCCTAAAAAACGTAAAATTGAGGAGGCATGCCATGAATTAATGAAGAATGGATATATGAGTATTTCTTCACCAGTTCTAAGAATAAAGCAGTGTGTTTACTGTGCCAGAAGATGATTGCTGTGTTAAAGGAGTAAGAATTTGAAGTAGCACTACCAAACAAAACATGAGGATTTTTGCTGCAACATAACCGATCGATGATGAACAGGAGGAAAAGGCTGTGGAATATGTTCCAAAATTGAACAAGCAACAAACTCTTTAAGAAGCAATCATCAATTCATGATACTGTGCTTGAGGCAAGTTTTATGGTGACATACTAAATTTCAAGATGTAACAAACCATTCTTAGATGGCAAGTTAATAAAACAAATTCATGATTCAAGTGTTGTATGCCTGGAAATGAAAGGTAAATTCAAAAACATTTCATTATCAAGGACTGTCATGTGACTAATAGAAATAATCAGTGAGGAGTTGGTTCAATAGCCGAGGGGTGCTTTGACTTTTCATGGCCTACTTATGTGGCCCTCACTCTGAAAACTTTGCCAACCACTGGGATACATGATTAAACAAAAATAAAACAAAAAACAACAAAAAACTTTTAACACTTTTTCTGGTGTCATCATGGACCATAAATTTAAGCACCTTTTTGGCAAAAAAACACAATTTGGAAATTCTTGTAAAAATCAAATATCTGTTTGATCTAAATTAAACTTTCAGGACTTATTCAGAAATGGATGAAACCATTTTTTAAAGGTTTTTATTAAGAAAAAAAAAAAAAAAAAAATCCTAGGAAAAAAATATTTTTTAAACAATATCTATTACTCAACATCATTTAATTTTATAAAAATGAGAAATTTTGTATTGCTTAATTTTTTTTTTTTTTTTTATTTGTTATAAGGACAAGTCCTAAGAGAATTTAAACCATCAATTTTTTTTTTTCTAACAGCAGTTATAGAAATTCTGCTCAAAATCATAAAATAAAAAATACCCAAGTCCCCCCAACAGTATTTTAAGAAGAATCATTAATTTTTTTTTTTTTTTTATGTACTCAATTTTGTAAATATGAATGTCCATACACAACATTAATAATAGAGATACCTAAAGTAAATTTAAAATTTATTTGGTAATTATCTAATAATTAGTAATTAAAAGAGTTTTAAATAAAGCCAGTTACCTAAAATTCAATAAAATATTAGAATGTTTAAAACATTTTAAAGATTACTGGGTAGCTTTTTTTTAAAAAGTTGTATTCATCATGTAATTTTTCTAGTTATTTTGCTCTTAGTTAAATTTGCCAAACATCACTCAGTAAGCACAAAAACACCCACTCAGTCTTTAAAAAAAATGCTTTTCAATGATATTTTAGACTAAAAGTAATAATTGTTTAAAATCAGATTAATTAAATATTAATGTCACTATTTGAAAGTTTATTTAATAAAGAGAATTATGTTATGTTGATAGATGGACAGTTTTATAGATTTTACTGATAATCAGAAAAAAAAAAAAAAAAAAAAAAAAGAAAAGAAAAAGTATTTTAAACTTTAGGTATTACGTGATGGGGGGGGGGGTAACTAGAGAAAAGGGTAGTGAGAAAGGTGATGACAACCAACAGGACAATGTAAAGAGAAGTGATAAAAATGAAATGGGTTAAGAAAGAACAGCTTGATACTTACAAAATCTTGTCTTATGTCATTAAAATCTTTGCCATATTTATCTAATGCTTCTTCAAAGAGATTAGCTTCGGAGGCTGACCATTCTTCCATTTCATCACGACAAAGTACTGGACCTCCTTGAGGTACCAAACTGGTCACGGCTTTGGCAATGTCATATCCACTCCTATGTAATGTATCCATGGCATGAAACTGAAAATGAAACAATATTTGTGCTAATTACCTGATGGAAAAGTAAATTTAAGTATTTAAAGCACTATGTGGTTTATTAAAATAGTTTGTTAAAAATGGAGAGAGAGGAAAAATAAATAAATACCAATGTGACATCTCGAGATGCTGCTGCAGCACTCATATGAAGACTTGGTTGCCTCACTGTACTTGTACAATCCAGAGCACGGGCAAATGTTCCCACAGACCTAAAGACAAAATAAAATGATAAGTCAGAGAGAGAGAGAGAGAGAAATAAGCACAATATAGAATGAATAATTATTTTATTTGGTATAAAATGAAAGATGATACAAAACAGTATATATATTATATACACACACACAATTACATACTATTGTTTTGCTTAATAGGCTAAACAAAGCACAAAACTTAAAAATGAAACTTAGTTCTTTCAATAGAGGGGTTAAAAATGAAGTGTGTTAATAAATAATCAAATAATGAAAAGTAAACAAGATTTAAAATTTAGATAAAAATTAATCAGCCTAGAGAGAGAGAAAAAAAAAAAATCAATATACTAAATTTCAAGCCTTAGCTATTCTTACTGAAGATTTGAGAAAAATACTGGATTTAAAAACATTTGCATTTTTATTTGAATTTTAGCTTCAATGGGGAAACATTTGGAAAAATAGACACATCAAAAAAGAAAGGTCATAAAAAGTTGATTATTGTTAATAAAAATTAACTCACTTAAAACTTTATTACTGCTAGCCAAGATCTGAAATTAGTTTATTTACTAGCTATTCAGTTGTGATTTTGACATATAGAAGTTTGGCCATGAGAAATAACCAATTCTTTTCTGAATTCTAACTGGCAATAACACACACATTATTTATATATATATATATATATATATATATATATATATATATATATATATATATATATATATATATATATATATTTAGTTGGATAGATGTGAGTTTGTGACCCTGGGTTTCACGTTTAGCGATCGTCAGTCTGACAATCGCTAAAGCGTGAAACCCAGGTCACAAACTCACATCTATCCAACCAAATATGTTAGCTCTATCTCTGATATTGAGCGCTTTTCTAATAAGTACCGCACATATATATATATATATATATATATATATATATATATATATATATATATATATATATATTTATATATATATACACACATATATATATATATATATATATATATATATATATAAAAAAAAAACTTGTCTGCTGCAGGATCAATCTTATAACTAGAAATTGTTTTTGTTAGAATATTTCTTTATTGTACATATAATTTCGCTTTTAAGTGTGTTTTAAATAATTTATTTGCAGAGGTACAGGAGGGGCCTAGAAGTATTTCTGTATATATGTTTGAACAACAGTGGTAATCACAAAATACCCACAATGTTTTGTTTCATTACATCATTGATGATTTCAAATTATTTTCTGCTCCTCTTTCAGGTTACAAAAGGGAGCCAAATCACAGAGAGAAAGGGAGTGAGTTCGTAAGAAACATCTGCCATGTTGTTTTGGATCAAAAACTGTTGGATACTCAAGGCTGTATGAACAGAGACTGTGTAGATGTCAAAGAACCAATTATCACTACTCCACATTTTTATGGCCAAACCTGCACACTCTTATGTTATATTTTCAACATCAAAATTGCTGATTCTTTGTCTGCCCAAGAGGTGTACACTTGTAGACAACCCCATTCACATCAAAGAAACAAATCAACATGTCTTCACATTGGATTGCATCAGTTACATCTTGAATCTTGTTGAATTTGTTAGTTTTCATTTGCTGAATCTTAACCATAGTGTCAAAAATCATCCCCAGTTACAACTTTGAATAGAAACCATAGGCCTCAAATCACATATAAGCAATTGTCTTTTTGATCCTCTGTGAGCAAATGAAGTATGAATTTTACAGAAACCAGTTTTACTTTCTAATCTGTTAGTATCTGTTAGCATCAATAGTAATGATTGCATGGCAAATCTCAAAATCAGTTTAACTTGCTGGAGGACTGTTTGGAATGGAAGCACTACAACAGTTTCAGCAGTTTTCCTTTAAAACTTAATGCAGACTGTACTTTTATCAGCCTTTGTGAAGATAAAAATTCATAGGAAACAAATGTCAAGCCAGAATCATGCAATGTGGTAAATTGGCACAGAAGAGTGACAGCTTATAACATCTTACTGGCACAAAGTGCACTCAGTTTAGGTTTCAAATTTGTCTTTATTGGAGTAACTTCTTTAAAGTTACTAGGCCAATTCTGATGTCTGGTAATTTGGTCAGATTTTGGGAAACTGATTGGTACAGTACACACTTAGATAATTTTGGCAATGCCTACACATTCCAAATATAAGGTTTTTTTTTTTTTTTTATATAAAACCTGGTATTATTTATGAAGCATTTTAATGTAAAAAAAAATGAATACTGAAATAGTTTAATTACAGCACGCCAAGAGAATATTCAACTAATTTGATATTAATGTTACCTGTCAAAATTTAAATAAGAAACTTGTATTTTTTTTTAATACCTTGCTAATATTAAAAACTGATCTATTTCCTTTGGTGTTAAAGTATTATTTGGACCAGGGAGCCATATTAACTGTTCCATTTCTTCTAAATTTCTCCCATCTTCTTCACCTGGAAGAGAGAGAGAGAGAGAGTGAGAAAATAAAATTATTAGGCAAATACAATCCAAATTCTAAATGAATTCCTTCAAAATTTATTTAATCTAGATTTTTGTAAATTCAATATTGTTACTGCTAAACAAGTGTTACAATATAAAACTAGTTCCAGCATATAAATACAAAACAACCTTTTTTGTCAAAGTGATACAATAAACTTTTACTCTCTTATTGCAGAAATTTATCTAATGCAACAAATAAAAAAGCAGCATGAATAGGTTTTAGAGCATCAATTAATTTGATTGTTTGTTTGTTCCTATAAAATGGCATATCTACCATTATGGGTCATTCCAAGCTGAAAGAGGTTATTTCGGGAGGGGGGGGTGCTTTTATTTAGATGAAATGCTTGCATTAAAAAATAAATAAAGGTCTTCTATTTTCAAGTTGTCAATTTATTATGTATTGTAACTTTCTGTTTTAGATTGTTCTAGATTTTTTATTTGTTTGGTTTTAATTCATTCTGCAATTGTCTTCTTTTTTTTTAACCTTGTCTAGGGTGCAGATTGACAATGCTTTGTTACTCATTACATCCTTGGAGGTATTTATGGTTTTGTGAGGGTAGGCTTTTATTTTGATATTGTGGAGGTTGGTTGTTTTTACTAGGGTGCTTGTAATCATTTTCTTTTCACGTCTACTAGAAAGGTAGTTTTTTTTTTTAAATAAACATTTTCAGGTCAGCTTTTCTATTATGAAATAGGGACATTTTTGTTTGTCATGTTGTTTCCAAAACTATTTTGGAAAGGTTTCAATTTTTTTTTTTAAATCTTGTTTCCGATTACATGTGTGGTCTTTTGGTTTTTGAGGTGTGACTTAGATTATTTCATTATTCTTGTTCCTCACCTACCTTGAAGGAACAGGTCAAGCTTTTCAATTTTCTCAATGTAACAAGGATACTAGTATAGTATGCTTACATTTAAGAGAAAGAAACTATGAGCACCTATAAGTCGTTTGTTTCTTAATATAAGTATAGAGAAATATCTGGAAAATGCAGCCATGTCATGGTTTTGTCCCACAAATTGATTGATGCTCAGCCACCATTTTTGGCAGAGTAGAGTTGGGGAATATATATATGTTTATTCTAAAGCTAGACATGATCAACTGAATGATTAGATTGGGTTTCTCCAATCACCCATCTAGTCCAAGTAAAGGTCAAAGTGGTGTGTTGCAAACAAACAATTTAAGCACTGAGATCATAGATTGCTGCACTATCAGGATTCTGTAATCTAAGGCACCAAGAGGTCACCACCCATGGCAAGCGCATGGGATACAGCTGCTTCAGCCAACACTGCTATATCAATTAACTTAATGATTTTAACATATTGAAGATTACAAAAAAAAAAAAAAAAAAAAAAAACTAATGTATAAAGTACTATTAAAAAAAAAAAAAAAACAAAACAAACAACAAAAAAAAAAAAAAAAAAAAAACTTATCCTGTAAATTCAGAGATGAAAATTCTATGAAATTAAAATCCCAACAAAAACTGAAATGCGAGATCAATTCAATATTACCTTCTTTCAGTAAAGGTGTAATTTCTGCTTGGAACTTTGAACCAACTCTAATTTCTCCTTTATCAGCCAACAAGGTTTTTTGTTGTGGATCATAGACTAATGAATAAAAAAAAGTGTCCTGAAAGGGAAAATAATCCAAGTGTATAAATTAATTTTATATTTGGAGAAAATTATTGAACAATCATTCAGCTTATACATTTCACTTGGTAAAAATTAACTGTATGGTCTATCAGGAAATGACCCAGTCATTTATATCCTATCTAGGTTAATGATGATTTAGTTCCTTCTGAAGTATTTCTGTTAGGATTTTACACATTTCAAAAAAATCTAAAAAGACCTTTTGGGGATCACTATCAACTACCTTGAAACCTCACTTAAATAGTTATTATATAAAAAAAAAGCTAAAAACAGCAAGGATACAAATCTAGAAAACAGAAAGGCTGACAGATGCACGTGATGCAATATTTTTTGAAAAAAAAAAAAAAAAAAAAAAAAAAAAAAAAAAAAAAAAAAAAAAAAAAAAAAAAAAAAAAAACTTGGCAGTTAAAATATTCAAAATGGATAGATACTTCCTTAATGGTCTGAGAAACTCAAATGCAATTTTTGCACTGTGAACTGCCAATTTCTTTGATTACAACCTTTCCAGAATAGTAGTTTGACTCATTGGTACCAAAATTTCATTTGGCTTTGTTTGATGCATATTTGTTGATCAAATTGCTTGGTCATTGTGATGGTCACACAGTATACAAGTTCACTTAATGGCCCCTCATTGGCAACTGAGTAAGTCAGAATGAGACATGTAGTAAGGTGTGTTTGATGAGCTGTCACATCAAGGTTACAAAATATATTAAAAAATGGCTTCATTCTGGACACACCACTTACACTATACATTTAATGAGAATTTTTCCTTCAAGTTTTACATTTTTTTTTAGTAAGTTCAAAGAAAAAAAAAAAAAAAAAAAAAAAAAAAAAAAAAAAAAAAAAAAAAAAAATCAACCTATTTGAATTGAAAAAAAACTTAGAGAAATCAGACAAGGAAGGGCATTATTTCTCAAAGTAAAGGTCTTTTGAGCATGTCAAATAGAACCAGAGAACCTTTCGTGAACATTTCATAAAACAGACAAATATCAAATGATCTATACTTACAAGAAAAAAAAAAAACTATCAAACTTCTAAATAACCAGAACTATGTGAAATAGGAGCTATAAATTCTAGGATTATCCAAAATTTGAGAGAACAATAAACTTCAACAAAACAGTGTGTACCTTTGAAGGGACCAATTTAAAAAAAAATGCATATATGACAAGATCATACAAAGCCAGTATTAGCCATTTGAAACTGAGCATTTCTAAACTACTTAAGATAGCATGTCCACAGTATAACCCAAAAACAATTTGAAGGAGTTCAGTAAAAATTGATGAATCCTTCATATTTTGCTTGTTCATATGTATGAAAATTATGCTTTTAGAGAATGTTTGGGAACTAAAATTTAAGTGAACCCCACAAGGATTTGATCTTCTAACCTGGAAGCACTCAGCCAACACAACTAAAAAAAAAAAAAAAAAAAGGTATAAAATGAAATTTACCTAGAAATACAGGTCATTTTTTTTTTGGTAATTAATTGAATGCCCCTTTTTTCTCTTTCAAGTTAATTTTAAAACATTAAATGCATTTAAAACAAAAATTGAATTTAACATTTTCTTTGATATTTTATTAGAATTTCCTTTATAAGATATGCTTCTTCAAAGTTTAAAATCTATTACTGCTTCTGATTTTTTTTTCAATATCATTACATTAAAATTGTAGAAGAAAAATAAAAATGATTGAGAAAAAGCAAAAAAAAAAAAAGTTTTGGGAAGGCTGCTCTTCATTCACTTTCAGGGTTCCCACAGATCTGTGTAAAACAAATTCCAGGACTATGTTAAGTTTCAAAGACTAAAACTTGTGTGCATGCATGCGCGCACACACACACACACACAGTGAACAGTCATCACTCTCAAAAACACAAACTTTGTGATTTATCATTTAATAATTTGACAGATGAGATGTTCAAAGAAAAGCTACAGTTGGTTCCAATAATTCATGCCACATGGATCAGTTGAAAGCAGTGTTCAAAAGTGTTGAAGGCTAAATCACAACTGAATGCAGACCTGGTTATGTTACACATTTTGTGCAGCACTCTACATTGTACTACTAGACTTGAAAATTTTGAATTACAAACTTTAATTCTTACTGCTACACATTTCAGCTATTTAGACTACTCATGGTTTGTGAATATCACAAAAATTCTTTAATGTTGCACATTTCCTGTGAAGTTATGTATAGTGGTTTTAATGATCATAAGTACAAGTAGAAATTTTCACAAAATGACTACACATTTTAGTTAGCCCTACTATTCATGGCTTTTGTTGCACATACTCAATAATGTTAACATCTTTTCAGTTCATCTAGTTTAGCATTCAGCTCCTCTTCCAATTTGGATATCTCTATGAACTTTTCCTTTGCTGATCTTCACATGACATTGGACTTTGTGATAAATGGGAAGTTCTGAGTGCTCAGCTTCCTCCACATAACTGTCAGCTGACTTGAGCAAATCTTGTGTGCAACTTTCAAGCTTGTGTTTTTTGGTCTTCAGTTCTTCAATTTCCATAAGCATGGATTTCTGTTTTTTGTCCAGCTGTTTCTTGCCTTAAAGGTGTTGATTTTATGTTGTTCTAGCATAGGAAGCAATGCAGAGATGAGCCTTAGTTACGGGAACATTTCCAGCACCTCCAACTGAGGCCAAATAGTCCATGATAATATGCCCATAATGTCTGCAAAAATTTCTTTATTGATTGAAAAACCTCTCTCCACTGAGGCCAATCTACAAGCAACTTTCCAGTTTTTGACATTCTTTGTAAATAGACAAAAAAAAAAAAAAAAAAAGATTAGAACAAAGTTCCCAGGCGGTCTTCATGCTTGCTGAAATTCTTGAAAGCGACATTTCCAGTACTCCCCCCCCACCACCCAGAAACTCTTTATACTAACTGATATTGTCATCACAATCAGACTTGCTGACTTGTATTCTGTCCATCATGTGAGAAAGACATCTTTTTAAACTGCATGTGACCTTACAAGAGGGTATCTAAGGGGAGAAATTGCCAGAAGTTTCTCAACGATGGTGATAAGCATTGTTACAATTTTGCATGCAAACATTGACCTTTTTTTGTATAAATTTTGCATAGCCTTATCTGCCAGAAATCCACACTTTATCTTTGTAGCATCTTTATGCATGTTTGGATTTGACAAAAAATTCATTCAGTTTAGAAAACGTAATTATCTTTTTAGTGTGCTCTTCCTTTACAAATCTTAAGTTTCATGATCATGCTAACGAGATCATTTGCAAGGAAAGGAAGCAATGGTTTATCGCTCTGATATTTTATCAGAAATGCTTTGATGTATTTCACAAGATCTGCAGTTTCACTGGAAGTAAAATATCATTCAGAGAGCACCGCAGAGAAGGACATAGTCTGGGGACATTTTTCTGTTAATTAAGTTCACAAAGTTGATTCATAAATCTAAGTTCATCTGGTCAGGAGTCATGTTTGTAAATTTTCTAGCCATCTATGGCAGAAATACAAAAGTAAAGGGATAAGGTTGCCAGATTGAACTTTTTTTTTTTAAAGCCAAATAAGTTTAATATATTTCATAATTTTTTCATAGTTACAACAAAAGCTAGAGATACAGGTCATTATTAGCCTGCAAACTTTAAAAATAACATTCTTCAAAGACGCCATTTTCTATCCTATGCTGAGACACATCAAAGGCACATTTCCTATTCTATTATCCTTTCTGTTTATATTTTCTCAAACTTGTTACTTTTCGCAACAATTTAGACAAACATAATTTACATAGATAAGACTGACACGGGATGCATAAAGTATATATTTTTTTCAGCATGAACTCACCCACTGCTAACTAGAGATCAAAAGGATTTTTTACTTTTGAAATTGACATGTGAAAAACATTTCTTCAATAATTCAAAATTTAAAGAAAAAACATTGATAAAACTTGAGAGTCTATTAAAATGTATTCTATAACTGTAAAATAATTTATTATTTTCTTTCAAATTCAATGAGGGTAAATTAATTCATCGTTAACAGAGCTGTTTATCTACCTGACGCCTTTTATCTTTATCTTTGTTTTTCCTCTTTTAGCTAGGGGAAGACACACCTTTATATTCTTTCTCATCACCTAGACGAGAAAATACAGAAGTAACCACAAGATCAAGAACCCGGTGCACAATAATTGCCAAATATTACTGATAAAAAAAAAAAAAAAAAAAAAAAACCTGCACATTTTCTTAAAGGGCAACTTTAGCTTGTAAATAAGCCAGATTTCTGGGATTTGCCATTTTAACTTTCCATGAAAAAAAGTGTGGACAGTTCCAATTTAGAAAATTCCAGGACTTTAAGGTTTCCAGGACCTGTATGAATCCTGCAAGATATGCATTTTATTTTGTCTACAAATTCAATATCCCAATAACAAAATTATGTAATGGTAAAGAAAAAAAAAAAAATGCAGTGATACATTTTAAACTTCAAAATGATAGCTGCTTAGTTAAAATATTACAAAAATTAAACTTAAAACCTCAAGGTGTTTTGACACTGCTTTAAAATTAATTTTTATGAATGAAAAAGCATTTTTTATAGCTTTAATTGAAAGCTAAATGATTAAATTTACTAATTCCAGCAAGCAAAATACTCTGCTGTATTTCAAACAAAAATTATATTGATTAGAATCTCAACTTTTTGCTGCTTTCAAAAAAATCATTTAAATTTGGCACTTCATACATTGACACATTTGTAAACAAAATTCAATTTTTGGTTTAAAAAAAATCTTCCAAAAATAAAATATTTGTGACATGTTATTTGAGGAAAAATAGCAAATTTAAAGTTAAATTAATCTGATTTGAAACAAATATTTGTAGATAGCATAAAAAATGTAGTATACAAGCACTTCTTAATCACAAGGTCCTGTTTTTCTGATGTAATTGATTTATTGACAGTCTAAGGTGTTTGACAGCTAAGTATGGTTGACCATAATTGACAAATTTACGAAATCTAAATGAATGTTTGT